TAAACCCTAAACCCTAAGGTTGAAGGTTCCAGAGGGATTCTATAGCTTCAGGCGCCTCTGAGACGGCTCCTCGCCCCTTGCCCTAACCCTAAGGGTCCAAAGGACCCAATAATAGGGTACTTTGGTTGCGGATAGTAGTTATCTAGGTTAATGTTTGGGAGAGTATATGATTATTAGGTACTTGGACCCTTAGGGTAAGGCTCAGAATAGCCCAAAAGCCTTTTATAGTATGGTCCTTGGGCCCAAAAGACTTAAAATATGAGTCCTCAGAGCCTTAGGGTTGAGTTTTTGTTAAAGCTTCTGTTTGTAGCTTTCGATTGTTTGTGGGCTTAAGGCTTGGAACTCAGGGTTTTAGAACTTAGCGCTTTAGGATTTAGGCTTCCAGCTTTCTTTCACGAGCTTGTCGGGTTCATTAGTCTTCTAACAGAGTTTTGGGTGTTCTGGTTCTTTAAGGGCTCCCGAACAAGCTTCCGGCTGTTCTTTTAGGATTCCCTTGAGGGTTCTGGACGGAATCTATAGCTCCCAGAAGCTGCTGGTAGGGTTCTAGAGAGATCAGGGGCTTTAAGCTTCTGCAAGGGGTTCCCTGAAGAGTTTAGGCTGAAAGGGGTTGGAAAAGGGTTTGCGAGTTGTCCTTTCATTGGAGAGGTCCTAAAAGTACTCTCCACTGGGTTAGGGCATTGGGTTTTTTGGGGTCTAGGGCTTTACGGGATCACCCTAAACCCTGAACCCTAAAACCTCAGGCTAAAAGGGGCTCTGGGCTCAACCTGCCATACACTCGAGCCTAACGGATTATGGGTTTGGTTTAAGCATGAAGGGGTAAGTTTCTTTACGTTCATAGAAGCCTGAATAACTTCCAAGATGTACCAGCATTATTCCGTATGAGGTTTCGATATTGGCCTTTGTAGCTATACGTCTGTAAGCATCAAATACCCTATTCTAACTATTACCCTAGGGCTCCCAGTTTGCAAACAGGAGCGGATAGTAGTTTAGGGTTTAGGGTTTAGGGTTTAGGGTTTAAGTTATCTAGGTTAATATTTGGGAGAGTATATGATTATTAGGAGACTTGGACTTAGGGTACGTTGGGGTCTAAAGTGTAAAGTCGTACCTGCTCTGTTGGAGCCTCTGGGTACTAGGGGTCCTACAGTAGGTGATGCGCCCGGCGGCGAGGGTCCCTAAACCCTAAACCCTAGTAGAAGACACGTCTATTTCCCGACAGGATCTTTCTATAAGTTCGCAATATATGTGCTGTCATGGGAAGCTATAGCCATTGACCGGCCGAGGGTGCTGGGTGGCTGTCTTGACATCCCGGGATTGGATCAGAAGACTAAGACTACACCCTAAATCCTAAACCCTAAACCTTACTCAAACCGCTAAGACTCAACCCTAAACCCGAAACTCCAAAACCCTAAAGCCGCACCAGGCAACCAGCGCAGCATTTCTGACAGACTTGGAACTGCTAAGTCCCATGGGCATGCAAGGAGGGCATCCTTCCCGGACTTTAAGGCCTGGGGTTTTGGGGCTCAACAGTCGGATGAAGGCTGGAAGACTTGGTTCGGCAGTAGGGTGTGGCAAGTGCGAAGCCCATGCTTGCGACAGTTCAGAAATCATTTGGCCACGTTCCCAACTGCAAGCTACAACGCAGCGGAACAGAAAACAGCGAAGCCCGATAAACCAAAGTCGGCTCATGACTGCATGAAAGGCTTTCGGAGCTGCTTGGCCCTTCCTTATGCGCTATACTTGGAGGATCATGGGACTTAGTAAGTAGGGTTATAAGTACAACAATTGGGGTTATAAGTACTTATAAGTATAGTTGCCTTAGTTATAACCCTAGTTACTAAGTCCCATGATCCTTTAAGTGGTCTCCTGAACGCATGGCGATCAAGGGCTTCATCCGAGGCAGAACCACTGCAGCCGAAGTTGCCACGGCGATTTCGAACTCCTCCTGCGTCAACCTGTGCTCTGAAGTAACCAGTGAGATTAAATATAAACGTGTATTTCAGCATGGTTCCTTTAAGGAACAGCATTAAAGTATGGTAGAGATTAAACATGTATTTCAGAATGGTTAGTTCCTTTAAGGAACAACATTAAAGTATGGTACTCCACAGCCCAGTAACAGGTGAGCCAGCTTCTTGCGCGCGCGTTGGAAGACCCGCCTGCCCAAGGACACATGAGACAAGATGTGGGCCTACTGCTCCTGCACTACTACTACTACTACTACTACTACTACTACTACTACCACTGCTACGACTACGACTACGACTACGACTACAACTACTACTACTACTACTACTACTACTACTACTACTGCTACGACTACGACGACGACGACGACGACGACGACGACGACGACTACTACTACTACTACTGCTACGACTACCACTACGACTACTACTACTACTACTACTACTACTACTACTACTGCTACGACTACCACTACTACTACTACTACTACTACTACTACTACGGACCCGTAGGGGAGAAGGGCCGTTGCCAGGGACAGCGCAGTCAAGGTAAGACAAACGGGCCCACGGGCCCACGG